CCCCCCCCGACCCTTCTGTGGCGCCCCCAAGCTAGTGGTGTGCGATTTTGAGGAAACGAAACTTCAACGACGTTTCGAAGCGTCGAGTCAGTATTCCTGCTTGTCGAATACCGAGTTTGAATTGGGCTTTTTTGTTTGTTTTGTCTTTCATGTTTTTTTGTTGTTGTTGTTTTTTTTTGCTTCTTATAATAGTCATCAGTAAATCAGCAAGGGAACTCATTGCGCCTGCTTACTGCTTATATCTTACAAAGCGTCTGCATGTTTTAAAATTCCTGTTTGGTCCGCTCATCCCTCTGTCTTGTAATCGTCAAGTCCAAAGTTTGCTGAACTTAGCTTAAAGTTGTTTTTTTTTTTTTTTTAAAATATGACACGCCCCTGTTAGGCGACGGGTGGAGAAAACTTAAACAAAAATCCACAGTCCGTCTAAATCGCATAGTATCCGAAATGCTCTTCCGCCGCGCTTCGAACAGCTAGGAATATGGGTATAGATCTAGCGAAAAAAAAATCGTGAATGTTGAGTAGTGAAGTCGAATGGGCACAACACAACTGTACCCCAGACGGTGAAGGGCAAAGCCTCGTTGTCGTAATTTATAGTTGTGCTCTGTCGATGACGCTTGATCTGGGCCCGTAATGTAGCGTCCTGTTACGGGATGTTAGTGGTCACTATCGCTGACCACTGGTCATTAAATGCGCGCCGTCCCATTGGAGATGGGCATTTGATTGTAGCTGCCGCCCCATAAATTGGCCAATATAATTGTGTTTGAATCTGACGTAAAGTTCGGATAAATCTGAACTGAAAATTTTGGAATACATTATTTGTAGTTTTGATATTTCTCACGATGTACAAGTGGAAGAGAGGGAGGAATATGAAAACGGACGTATAGAGAAGAAGGAAAAGGAGGATTAGGGGAAAAGGGGGAGGAGTAGGAAAACGGACGTAAAGGGAAACAGGAAGATGAGTAGGATTGGGGTGGGGGTGGGGGGGGGGGCAGTGTAGCGAAGCGACAACTCGGCTTTCTCCAGCTTTAAACTTAAGCCCACATGATGCAAATCGAGCTAAGGAAGGAATAAAGGAATCAGAGAGGCCGATAAGAATAGTATGACCTTGCAATCAGAAGCTTCCCCGACCCACTTCCTCTTCATACCAATGGGGGTTTAAGAAAAACTGGCGTCTGCGGTGTAGCGGTGTCGCGTGTCGTTGTAGCTCGCCGAAGACGCGAGTTCGATTCCCGTGTCGAAGAAGTTTTTTTTTAATCGAGTATCTCGGTCTTTCTGCTGGGGTGTTTTATCTCTCTCAGCCCAGTTTGACCCTGATAAGCGGGATCGGAAGCCAGCCTCCTAAATGATCAGAATTGTGTTGCCTACATTTAAAAAAATAGAAACTTCAGCCCTTATATGAACGAGTTGTGTTGTAAGTGACGTAAAACTCACACAATAAATGTTTGTTTGTTTGAGCAAAAAGAAGCTCATAAACACAATAATGGTCATTTATTGCTGCGGAAAAGTAAGGCAGACGGACGATGGAAATAAAGAAGTGGGACCTACCAGTGGCTTACTAAAACTTAAACAAAACAAAAGATTTGGTGCGTGCAACTGGACAATCTGCCAGGGCTCGCCAGACTGCCAGCACATACAAAAAGCCGTCCCTACGGATGTGTGTCAGAGCAGCACCGAAAAAAAAGAATTAAAGAAGAAGAAAAAAAAGGAAGGAAAGAAAGAAGTGCTTCTTCCGGTCTTTGAGTGGAAATCTCAATTTTCCTGAGATTGTGTAAGTTTTCTTTTTCTTGGTTATTTGTCTCAAACGTATTCTACTTTAGTTTCAAACCGTATCTGCTTCATTTCGAAATATGTTTGTGACCGCTGCCATCAGAATATAAACTTTCTCTCCCCGTCCTCTCCCCTGTTTGGTCTGTCTGTCTGTCTGTCTGTCTGTCTGTCTAACCCCCTCCCTTTCTCTCTCTCTCTCTCTCTATCTCTCTCTC